ATTAAAATTAAGAACGCAGAGAAAGTAGATCTCCACAACACAGACTTCACAACAAACCTAGACGAGATTTCTTCCTCAAGACAAGACTAACTTATCAATATCCACTAGACTTTATGATCCTACACAAAACAACGACACTATATGATAGGTCCATAGTAGTTGTTCCATGAGACCTGCTGTACCTAAAATTATCTTGTAGTCTGCAACTAAAATCCTCCACTCCCGACATAAATTATTTATTGAATAGCCTACACTACTTTCATTCATTAACATCATTCTGGTTTATGCTTTGATTCGGCAATGTTGTAACATTAATTCTCTTTAAGTTTATTGCTATCATAATTTTTTTTTAAAAAGAAATAATATAGTATCCTTTCGGCAAGTGAAGTAGCTCACCTGACTCAGTGAACTCGGCATATGAAGGGATATAGTGGTCAGCCTCCTTTACTTATGCTAACGTGAGCCAGGTAACCACAGTGTTTCTTCCAGACTTTTTTCTCCGGGGGGGGGGGGGGGGGTGCACTTGAAATTTTTGGGAGGGGGGGGGGGGGGGGGGGCGGACAACAATTTTCGGGGGGGGGGGGGGGGGGGGGCGGACAATGTCAAAAGTATACATTTTCTATATAAATTCCATTTCGTTCGGGGTGGGGGGCGGGGGGCGGTAGATTTTCTTCGGGGAGGCGGTGCCCCCCTCCCCCCCCCCCCCCCGAAGAGATGCCTGGAAGAAACTCTGGGTAACCAAGCAGAGCCGGGTGGACTCAGTGACGTCTTATACTCGGCCCCGTTATGAAATAGTCCTGCTAACAAACCAAATCGGCATTTTGTTTTTTCGTTAACAATTGTGTTAATAATTTCAGTAGGCTACTTGTTCTTTGTGCCAAATATTCTATCAGTGGATTGACTACACCGCTTTAATAACTTGACTCCGTATCGTCAAGGGGGGGGGGGGGAAGGGGGGGGAGGGGGGGGTCCCACCGGATAACAGTACGGGCAGCCCACAATTTCTACAGTGGACTTAAAATGCTAGTATGTGCAACCATCTGAGCATAGCCTAAATAATATGATACTAATGAGTTTCAACAAATACCATTTTACGCGCTCTAACTATTAATTAAGCAAATAAGCATATCTAGACCATTTGTAAAAAAAAGTCTGATAATCAGATCTATTTGGGCATCAATAAACTAAATATGAAAAATATGTCTGTCTGAATCGGACTGATCGTGGCTTCACATTAGTTCTATATTAAAGAATAGCGTGGCAAAAAAAAAAAACGTTTATAATGAGAGGTGTGTAAAATTTATTACGTCTGTAAGTGAAAAAGACTTAATTACTGCATATTTTAGCCCCCCCCCCCCCCCCCCGAAAATCTCAGGTACCCCCTGGAGACAAAAGACTAGAAGAAACACTAGCAGCTAGACTACCCCTGACCCCTTATACAGGACGCCCTATCAGCGGATGAGGTACTTGTTGAGAGTTCGAGCCGCCCAACTGCAACTACCTTTAGGGTGCTTATAGTCTTCGATACACCTTGCATTTTGTAAATATCTCAAACCATGCTGCCAAATTACCAATTCAATAATATCATGTACTGTGCCCCTTGCTATGTGATTAACTGATAAATTTATTTGGGAATTTAATATTATCGGTAACATCTTTACTAGGCCTAAATATTTAAGGTAGAGCCCGAGGCGTGTGGAAAAATAAGTAGATTTTAAACGACTTAGTATAAATTAGGTCCTACAACTATATGTTAAGCGCTTGGTTTATTTTCATGTTTTTTTTTTTTTTTTTTTTTGCCATACCAAACAGAACCTGCAAAGTATTAAACTTTTTATTTTTATTTAATAGGATTTTTTTTTTTCTGCATTCGTAGATTCCTAATTATAATATTAACAATCATAACAATTGTATGTAGTACTTGTAGCAGCCTTCTCGGGTTTACGACCTCAATCTCTGTTTACTTTAGTTCTCGTTTAATATTTTTAAAAATTATTCATTGCATAAGACGCGGTTAGTGTTCGTGCAAAGTCTGGAAAAAAAATCTAGAAAAAATCAAATGTCGTTAGACTTTTATAAATCTAGAAAACCACTAGTTTTCGGGCTTGCTTTTTAAAAAGTCTGGAAAATGTTAGGAATTTAGTTTTAAAAATAATTTTTTTTTGATGTCCATTAGTCTAAAGCTTGTACAAACTTACCGTACGAATGTGCTAAGATTAGGGGTCATCCATTTGTGACGGACCCCCCTCCCCGTGTGGAAGTCATAAGTGGATGACCCCTTATCTAAACTTGTTCTTCATTGAAAGAGTGATCGCGCACAGAGGCGTAGCGACCCTTCCCGGCGCCCGGGGCGAACTTTCAATTTGGCGCCCCCCCCCCCCCCCCCGCTTATATATATATATATATATATATATATATATATATATATATATATATATATATATATATATATATATATATATATATATATATATATATATATATATATATACATGTGTGTGTGTGTATAATTATGTGTGTGTGATAGTGTGTTTATATATAAGCTTGTGTGTGGGTAAGAGTGTATTTGTGTGTGTAAGCGTGTGAGTAAGCGTGTACGCTACAGTCCGGACAAGGTTTAATAATTACATTGTATGATTTTCATTCCTTAAAACTTTACGACAATTTAATTCCCATTAAGATGCGTTTAACTTTTTTTTGCGAAAGATTAGTAATGTCAGTAAAAAAAATAAGCCTGATCTGTGTTAGAGGGTAGTTTGTAGCTAACGCTAATATGTTTAGACCAGCCTTTAATGTTCTAGTTTTGGAACGATCTCTGTTGTGATATGGTACATAGTTGGATTCGAAGTTTGTTAGAGTAAGGACACACAAGTGACATACAAGAAGAAGTTATCAGAAATATTTATAGTTCACATTGGAATACGACATGGGTATTTCGTTGATTGGTTGATGGTATGACAAAACAAGCTAGAGAAAACAAACTGGAATCCAACGGATGTTAACAGCTCGTAGTCTTGGATTTCGCAGATTAGCCCTGCCTTCTCGCACACAGAGTTTCTTCCAGGCATCTCTTCGGGGGGGGGGGCGAAGCCCCCCGAAAAAATTTTTACCGCCCCCCCGAACGAAATGAAATTTATATATAGAAAATATATACGTTTAACAGTGTCCGCCCCCCCCCCTCCCGAAGAAAGTCTACCGCCCCCCCCCCCCCCGAAAATTTCAAGTGCCCCCCCCCCCCCCGAAGAAAAAAGTCTGGAAGAAACACTGCTCGCACAACGTCAACAACAAATGCAGAACTAATTGTATTGATTGAAGAAGCAGTAACAATCAATTTAATGATAGCCCATGACGTTCTGATTATAATCAGCAGCAATAAAACGCGTTTTAATACTCTAAGAAAATGTAGAACTCAAATGCATTGTCAAAAAAATTCAATCAGGATCTATAACTAAATGTGGTCTCTTTTACTGTATGGCTTGGAGCTAGATTACAGACAGTGGAGAATGAAATAAGAGCATGGAAAAAAGTGGTGGTTAGTGGCTTAGGGATTCAAGAATCCGTGATATTTAGTTCTCTTTAATATAGTTCAGTGATCCAGGTAAGATGTAATGCAATCAATCAAAAGTATCTGATCTCTCACGTTGAAGTTGAGAGAATCGTAAGAATCTTACAAAGAACTAGTCGCGTCTTTTTTTTTAAACAAAACTGGCTATTGAAATTGTACATTACGCGTTAATACACTTGGTTTCTTTACTAAGTGTTAAGAGAGTTATCTGCTCACCAATCCAGTACAAATACTTGCGATTTTTTTAGCGAAAAAAGCGCCCCCACCCCCACCCACACACTCATCACAACCATCTTGGACAAAGTTTGTAGAGCGGTTTTTAACGTAACAAACTTTTTTTTTAAAATGTTACACAATTATACAATGCACAGTACAATTCGTTTCTTTCTGAGAGCTAAAGGTTGTTTTCTCAGAATCCTGTGTAATTTTGCTATTTTATTTAGCCTAAAAGCGCCCCCCCCCCCTGCACCATCTTGATAAAAGTCACTAACGTATTTTACAGTTCAACAATCGTACAATACGTTTCAATACAATTGGTTTCTTTTAATAGTGGTAACGTTTATCGACTCAACAATCTAGTGTAAATTCTTCCGTTTTAAGTCTCGAAAAAGCGCCCCCCCCATCTAGGTAAAGCTTCAAAGCGGTTTTGCCGGTCACTGTTTCTTAAGAGTATATGTTTTACATTAAGAAATCAAGGTAGAAAACAGTTAAATCAGTTTGTAAAGGCGTGTAGCCATTACATTTCTTAACTTAGACAGTTTATAATTCAAAACTGCAGCATAAAATCAGCTTTAAAATTTTTTTCCCACCCCTTTTGGCGCCCCCAAAGGGTCGGCGCCCGGGGCGGCCGCCCCCCCCCCCGCCCCCCCCTAGCTACGCCTCTGATCGCGCAGGGACGCTGTATAGGGCCTACCTCTTGATTTTACACACTATCTTTCCTAAAGGTAGTCAGAGGTTGGAGGTAGTAATACAATATTTTTTTTTATTAAAGAAGCTGGGTTAGTGGGACTGTATTATAATATACTTTTTACAGAGTCCCCCCCCCTCCCCCGCAAATTTCAAGTGCACCCCGGAGAAAAAAGACTGGAAGAAACACTGTCTGCATGTCCTTTTGTTCGTACGCCAAAGACATTCGCTAAAAACTGATTTTTTTCTCTGCAAAAGTTCTATTTAAAATTGCTTAAAATGAACATATTTTAGTTGACAACCACATAATTAGTTTTTAGTGTCTATTCACACACTGAGGCACAGCTTATTTTTACAATTTTATTTTGTTATTTTATATGCCAGGTTAAGCTGCTGAACCTGCAATGTTTTAATTTATATTTATGAGGAAATAAAACTGCTTTTTAATAGAAAAAATATTTTATAAGATAATACACAAAAATCTAATCCGCATAGGCATTTTTATCGCTATTGAGTTTTCAATTTTAGTTTGACAGCTTTGATTAGGCTTTTTGATTAGTATAAAAATCTGACACATTCTTTCGCTTTTATCAAAAACGGCAAGCATGGCTGGTGGTGTTCCAATAATAGTTTTGAGTAAGTAACTTAACATTTAACATTAATTAATATAAAATTGATTTCCACGTTGAGTTAAACATCTAACATATTTGTTTTACAATTGCACAGATCAAAACACAAAGAGAGAATCTGGAAGAAAAGTGCAGATAGGAAATATCGAAGCCGGAAAGGTAAGAAAGTACCGGCATGAAAATAGCTAAGGCGTCCTGGTCGTTAAGTTGGGAAATAACTTCTGGAAAGTTCGATTGTCTAGTTTAGTTAGTAACAGGCCTTTTATGATTATTCATTTTCAATACACATGATTTACATGAAAATAGATATAAAACTACCTAGATCTAGCTTTATAAAATTATTAACTTTAGAAAATTTAGGCTAAAACAAAAAAATTTATTAAAAAATTTAAAAAAGGGTCTTTTTTTTTACCCCCATAGCCTGGAATTGGGTTACTCACCTCATATGACCAATATGACATAAAATGTCATTTGTAATTCTTATTGAATTCAGAAAAGATATTTGTAGGGCCTGTCGATTTATTTGTTTTTAAGTTTTTTGGCCATTTACTCCTAAGATCGATTGGGATGTTATGTTGTACAGTTGCTAGGGGTAGGGGTATTTGGCTATTTGACATAAGTGGGATTATAGCAGATTGCTTACTTGACATACCATTCAGAAATCCACCATTACTCATTTATTTATGTATTTGTTATGTATTTATTTAAAGAAGTAGCTTAACCTTTTAATTAACACATTTTACAGACTGTAGCAGATATCATTCGAACATGTCTTGGTCCAAGGTCAATGTTGAAGGTGTGTACAGGTTATTTAATTTACACTTTTTTTGTGTGGAGTGAAATTTCTGTATATTATGTTTATTTTGTGGTACTATAAATGATACAATTTTAAATATTATGTTCTTTCAGATGCTGATGGACCCAATGGGAGGAATAGTAATGACAAATGATGGAAATGCCATTCTTAGAGAGGTATGTTTTCAACCTCCTCAAGTGTCAGTTTGTTATTTATTATAGGCACATTTAAAAAGTCAAAACAATAGTTTTTTATGTTTAATTTTTATTATTTCAGCTAAATGTCCAACATCCAGCTGCAAAATCAATGATTGAGGTGGCTCGCACCCAAGATGAAGAAACTGGTGATGGAACTAAATCAGTAATAATTTTAGGTATGGCCTGCCACTGCATTAGGTTGATTTTTATGGAAGTAGGACATTGTGTGCATTTTCCAGCCAACTTTACTAATAACCATAAGTGCTTTATATTTGCAGACTCATAGATAGAAATACTGACCATGAGCTAATTTTTGTTTGTTGCAGTCATAATATTTTAATTGACTTAAATTGCAGCTGGAGAGGTCTTAGCAGCTGCAGAGCAATTTATTCATCAGCAGATGCACCCAACAATTGTAATTGCAGCTTATCGCCAGGCTTTAGAGGATATTCTAGATGATCTGAAAAATAAAGTTGCGTAAGTACTTTGTTCTTTATAATAAAACTTTTGGGAGTTTTGTAGTTGTGATACATTTTTTAAAACTGCAAGAATGGATTAGCTCTAAAACCATTTTCTTGTCTTTACTGATTGTAAAGTTTGTTTTGTTTAGTGTTCCAGTGGATATAAACAACAAAGAAGAGATGATGAAGATTGTGAAAAGCTGTTTGGGAACAAAATTTATCAGCAAATGGTATGTCTTCCTATTGTGTCCATTCCTTAGCAATGTATAGATAGGCATTTATTTTGAATACAAGCATGTTATTAAAAATTTATTTTTATAGGATGGATTTGGCCTGTAATATTGCACTAGAAGCTACTTCAACAGTACAGGTTCTAGACAATGACAAAAAGGAAATTGATATTAAACGCTATGCCAAAGTAGAAAAGGTACTTTAAAAGTTCTTTTCTTTATAATGCTTCATTTTTATAAAATTTATCACTGAATAACATTTTTACTCATATAACTTTTCTTTATTGATTGTTTAGATTCCTGGGGGTTTACTTGAAGATTCTAAAGTTCTGAAAGGTGTCATGTTCAATAAAGATATTACTCACCCTAAGATGAGAAGGTAATCATCTGTTACAGTCTATACATAGTAGTTTTTATATTTAAAACTATACCAAAACGACGTAATTAACAAAGATAAATTATACATTTTTCTAACTTCTGAAACAGGCGTATTGAAAACCCACGAATTCTGCTGCTAGATTGTAACCTTGAATACAAAAAGGGGGAGAGTGTGGTATGTAGAACATTGCATTTTTTATACGCGAGTTCAGTATCTGGGCATTTTCTTGATATGAATTAAATCTATCTTATTCAGTTATTGAACATTGATTTACAATCTTTAAAATTAATAATTTAATTTCTTTTATGTTAATAAATTGTTTTTATTAAAAATGTATATCTGTAGGATGTGCTCTTTAATTATTACTTTATCTAAACAAAAATCCTTTACTTTTCACAGACAAATATTGAAATCTCTAAAGAGGAAGATTTCTCGTAAGTTTAAGAAACATTTTTGTATAATAACTTGGTCACAAAGTGGGTTTCTCTTTTACTGTTTACTATTTAAAACAAAAATATTGTATTCATACCATACAAGCCTATTAAATATTTTTTTGCAGTAAGATTTTGAAGCTAGAGGAGGAGTTTATTGAAAAAGTTTGCAAAGAAATTACAGCATTGAAGCCTGATTTGGTTATAACAGAAAAGGGTGTTTCTGACTTGGCCCAACACTATTTGGTTAAAGAAAACATTAGTGTGATCAGGAGAGTTAGAAAATCTGACAACAACAGAATTGCAAGGTAGTGTTTTTTTTAGTGTAATGTTCTTTCTAACAGATGTAATAGTTTAAAATAATAAAAAATCATTGCTTTTATTTTGACTGATTTGTTTTTATAAATGCTACTTTTTTAGGGCTTGTGGAGCAACTATTGCAAATCGTACTGATGAGCTTAAAGAAGAGGATATTGGTACTGGGTGTGGTCTGTTTGAGATTCAGAAGATTGGAGATGAGTACGTTTATATATTTTTTTATATTTATACAAATAACTAATTACATTTTTATTTTAATGTAAATTACTAACATTAGTCATTTTGTAAATACACAGTTGTTTAACATTTGATGCAAAATAGTGGTTAGTAAATTATTTAAGGTATCTGAATTTCTTTCTAGGTATTACACTTTCCTAACCGAGTGCAAGAACCCTAAAGCATGTACAATTCTCTTACGTGGTGCAAGTAAAGATATCCTAAATGAGGTTGAGAGGAATTTACAAGACGCAATGAATGTAGCCAGGAATGTTATGATTGATCCATTCTTAGTTCCAGGTGGAGGGGCCTCAGAGATGGCAATTGCTCAGGTATAAGATCATGATTTTATTACATGTGTTAAAATTTTATTGTTTTTTTTTCTTCTGTTTAATGAAATGTTCTCATTTTTGTTAAAGGCTCTCAATGAAAGAGCAAAGAGTATTACTGGAGTTCACCAGTGGCCCTACCGTGCCATTTCCAGAGCGTTGGAGGTCATTCCCAGAACTCTTATTCAGAATTGTGGGGCCAATCCCATCCGTACCTTAACTGCGATAAGGGTAAGTGTACAAAATCTTTGTTTATCTCTTATGTAAGGAAAAAAGCAATTATTTGTCAATCTGTGAATTTTTGTTTTACAGGCAAAGCATGCACAGGCAAATAGCTCAACCTGGGGTATTGATGGTAATACTGGTAACATTGTTGACATGAAAGTGTTTGGTGTATGGGAACCTATTGCTGTTAAGCAGCAAGTTTTCAAGACAGCAATTGAGGTAACTTATTTCTGCTAATTTATTTAATTAAAGAGCAAATAAAAAAGACCATGTTCTGTTAAAGAAAATAATCGTATGGGCTATGATACTTATTTTTAAAATAAACATTTGTTTTAAAAATATTTACATACTTTAACAATTAAAACTTAATGCAAACAGTATTTAAACAAAAAAAATCGTGTCTGGTGATTTATGTCATATAATGGAAATCTAAAAACTGAATCAAATGTGTTCCCGTTAGTCACACATAAATAACTTACTTGAATGAGTCTAATGGCACTAAAATAGTGTATACTACAAATTAATTTTTTGTTTGTTTGATATACAATATATAAATGCCTTTTACATTCAATAAAAGACGTGGTATGAAGAGCTTTATGGTTGAGTGTTACAATAATTTAGCAAGAAAAAAAAATTAAGATTTCAAGTATAACATTTATAAAATTCTTTTACAACATAACTATGTAGAACATTCAACAAAAAAGATTTTAAAATCCCATTAACAGTGTAAAGTATTTGCCATTTTCTAGACATTCTCTAGTGTTAAGGTTTTAGGATTTAAGTGTATGATATGTTCTCTGCTGTTTCAGACTGCTATTCTCCTGTTGCGTATTGATGACATTGTTTCTGGAGTAAAGAAACAAGGTGGAGGGGATGCAGCATCTGCTCCTCCTCAAGGCGCCCAGGCTTCTGAAGGCCCAGAACAGTAGTCTAGAAATCCTTTATGCTGGTTCACTTTATGTTTTGTTTGATATGTATTTAAGTGAAAGAATGAATACATTTGAGTGTTTGCTGTTTTGCTTCTGTGATTCAGTTGTCCATTTTAAAAGTTTTGATTACATCTATTCAGGTGGTAATAACATAAGTTTATTGAGGCTGAACACTAAGTTGCTTTGACTTTTTTTAAAACAAGAAACAGGCTGGCTTGTCAGCAAGATCATGTCTTATTATTGACTTGCTATTTTTGTAACAGGACTGTCACACATAACTTTTTTTTACCAAATACATTAAACTTTCTAATTATTTTATTTGTTCTTTTGTATTCATTACCATTGTTTTGTTTGAATATCAATTTTATCATGATGAAATACATTTTTGGGTAGAACAAAAATGATGTAGTTAAGTCAATGCTTGTAAATCATATTTTCCTGCAAGTGCACAAGACAGATCAGTTGTTTTAATGGCCTTTGCATATATATATATATATATATATATATATATATATATATATATATATATATATATATATATATATATGGATAGTGATGTTGCTATGTCCACCTGACTTAGTTTTCCCTAACATTAGTACTCATCCGAGTTTGGTGGACTCAATGATGTCTTGCAGACCTTGGTTTGGGATCTGAACTCCCAACTTATGGGTTGATAGTCATGTACTTACCGGCACACCATTCAAATGTCATCGTTGTCTGTCTATTGAGCTCAGCATTTAGTGTTAAAAAGACCATCTTTTACTAACACAAACTTTGTATTTAAATTAAATCAGAGGGGCTGCATAGGATCTTTACTTTTAATTTTCTAGAGCTGAATTAAAATGTAGGAAAAATTTCTAATGGGAAAAACTCTGTAGGCCTAATTAGTAATTAAAAACTAATTAAATTTTTGCGGGAAATTAGACAAGATCTTAAGAGGGCAACTTCAGTAATTTAAATTTAGCTTAATTGCAATCTTTAGTTGTGTGATGCAAATGTTTGCATGCTTTTTCTCTGAAGTATGCATAGGCCTACTCTCCCCACTGTCTCCAATTTTTTATTTGGTATTCTTCATTGAACGAATATAGAAATCCACGCAATTCTAGTTGAATGTCATTATACCCGAATCTATAAATTAGTCGGCCTTTACTGTAAGGGAATATAAAAATTAATAGTGACTAGTGGGTGTTTTGTTTAGTCTACTTTACTCGGACGCCGTCACATCAAGTAGCACCAAACAAAATATATAGAGATCTATCTAGAGAAAAAAAGATTTTTTTTTTATAAAGCTAGAACAGCATAGAATATATTTAATATTTTAAATTAGGCCTCAGGGTGGACCAACAATGCATAGGACCTCGCCTACATTGAACATTCCAACTAAAAAATACGAATGCCTGTTTGGCTTATATTTAAGGTACGTAATTTCCATTTCTTTTAGGCTCAATAAACCACACTGGTTTATGTTTTTAGAGTTACACATATAATTAACAGATATAATTTTTTTTTATTAAAACCTTGGATTTTAAAATATTTGACTCATAATTAAATGAGCGTAAAGTTAAGAGATCTTGGTTCGAGAACATCATCGCCACTTTAGAGATCTAGAAATCTAATTTTAGTTTTCGACATCTGGCCAGGCAAACAGTACATTCAGCCTCTGACCCCGTAGGCCTATGTGAAAGGATTTTACTGTTGAGGCCTACTGGATGAACAGTAAACAGGGTAATAAACGGTAAACTTACCAAAGCTGAAGAGGTAGAATCTAGATTAAATTTAGATCTAGATCTACCTGGCCTAAGTTCTAAAAGTATTCTAAAGCTAGATCTAGATCTAGAGATCTATCTTAAGTTCTTAACTTAATCTACTTACTGTATCTGTCATGATCTGTCATCTGATCTACTATTAACTAGATCTATAATATTAATATTAAAACTACTATCTTCCTATCTTGTGTACTAACTTAGTTAGACTTAGTAGATCTAGATCTAGATATCTAAGTCTAGCTAGATGTAGAAATTTAGATTTTTTATTTAATAAATAATATAAAATACTATTGGGGGAGGCCTTTTTAATTAAATTATTTATAATTATTATTTTTTAATAATTATAATTAAAGTTAAATAAACCGGGAGTGATCTCCCCTAAACTTTCTCGAATATTTTTATATAAAACAACAGGGGATGGCAACTCGGGATATAGATCTAGACATGATTTTTAATCCAGTTTTAACTACTTAAACTTTTTAAAATAGAATAAAATCTCGTAGAAAAAAGAATCGCACACCAAGTGAACGCAAAACAAAATGTGTATAATAGTGCCGAATATTATTAGCACTTTATAAATTCACATCCGTTTTTTGAGAAATTGGAAATAGCGAAAATTACTAGATCTAGATCTACCTCTGGTCAACCGAAATTACTCAAAATTTGACAGAAGGCAGAGAATTAGATCTTGTACTTACTTGTGAAATTTCCTTTATCTATCTGAAATAGTACTCAAGTTATAGGCTTTTGAATAAATTAAATATAAAAAATATTCCACTTCCGCTTATCGGAAATCGCTCAATAGTTTATACTGATCTATAAATTTGATATAGGCTAATACTTATATGAAATTTCATCAACCTAGCTATAACATTACTGAGTTAAGTTATCGTGTATACAGACAGACACACTCACACATACGGACAAAATTGCAAAACTATGCTTTTGCGACTCATGATTACTATACTTTCTCTATACTTTGTATATACGAGAAAGTAAAAATGCAGAGGAAAGACAAACATATTATAATGGATAATAATTTCATATGGTGCAGTTTAACAATACCTGATGTTAAAGGGCCTAATTGTAGGAGGTTTGAGGTAATGGCACTGTGGTGTGTGATGTAAGCAGGTATTAATTTCACTACTCTATAGATAGTACAACATTCAACATAGTCCTTTCAGAGAAAGTTGTGCCACTTTTCCGGGATTAAGTTTGTTATATAACTTATAATCTGTAACATTTTTTTGGTACTAACCTAACCTTGGTAATTTTCTAATAGACATATTTGAAGATTTCAATAGGTTTACTTAGCTATACTACTTAAACTTATAGTCAAGGTTGCCTTTAGTAAAGAACATCCCACTTTTTACTGTATCTTACCTGGGTGTGGGGAAATTGCGAGACGCGAAAAGCGAAATGGCGAGGCGGGAAAATGCGAGAAGGGCGCGAAAACGGTCGGTCACGTGACTTTTTGTCTCGCATTTTACCACAAGCCGATACTTACACTGGGTGGTGTTGAAATGCGAAGATTTCTGCGAAAAATTTACCGCACCCGATTTTCAGTGGTATTTGGTCCAGACTTCAAAGACGTTTCGTTTACATTGTTAAAACTTCCGATTTTTCCGTCGCTAGACATACTGATGATTTGTCAACTCCCCCCATCTTTTGTGTCGACTTAGAATACCACCTTGTTCGAAACTGACGGAAATACCGCCGACGATAGATCAACTTCTGTCTTTTGTGTGGAACGCCGAGGCCGCCTGATTTACCGTCTTTGAAGATCGCCGTGCCCGGATCCGCTGCCACTGCATGCATATTTTCTATTGTTGCATAGAAATTTTGTATTATAGCCGCCGCCTACGATTTTTTCCTAGCTTTTTTTTACCATATAAATCTAAGCACAAGCTTTTGTATCACGGTTGTGACTTTTCCGAATTTTCCCATAAATGTTATATTATTATTTATTAATTAATTGTAAATATATATATATATATATATATATATATATATATATATATATATATATATATATATATATAATTTATTATTTCCATAAATAAGTCAGAAAAATAACATCAAATTAAGTATGCGATTACTGCCCTATGTGAAGGTGAGGACTAGATTAACCCTCCCTTATGTGTTGCTTATTCCTAAGCTTTTATGAACTCTCAATGCCCCCAGTTTTTTTTCTCTTACTTACTGTTTGGGGAAAAAATAAAGTGACGTCACCGATATTATCAGTTGCTCGTGCTACATCGTAAGCTATGGGCCTACTTCAAATATTTTTAAAACCAAGTTGAACTTATCTGAATTTTTTGGTTTTGGTGGTGGTGTTATTTTGGGTCTTCCATAAATGACTTTTTGCAAGTACAAAAATCCATAAATAGATGTTGCAAAATATCTCTCCTGCTGACAAGATTATACCAATTCACAATGACACAGCTCACGTTTGTATAAACATGAGCGGGCTAGATTTTTAAATTAATGCCGACTGAGACGGGATTTTCCTCTCGCTAACAAGAGCGGGCGATGGCAGTAGCACAGCAACGATGTTAGGATTTTTAAATAGATAGATCTAGATATAGATATATCTATCTTCTTAGTATCTAGATAAAAAAATAACAACATACAACACTCGTGTTAAAGGGTATGGCTAAATGCTCGTTTATTTTAAAACAAAACAAAAAAATAATTTAAATAAATAAAGATGGAAAAAAAAGAAAAAAACTTTTTTCGCAAAAAGTGTCTCGCTATTTACCCTTGATTCCGCAGGTATGTCTCGCATTACCTTCTCGCATTTTCCCGTCTCGCCATTTCGCTTTTCGCGTCTCGCAATTTCCCCACACCCATCTTACCTTTTCACTAAATTAATACTAAATATGTTTGTCTCTTTTTTTTTTTCAGATACATTTATTAAGCAACCTAGAACTTCAACTACCATTATGGTGTATGTTTTCCTTTTGAATGCTTAAAACAACAATTCACGCTCAGATATGCTTATCCATACACTGCTCATGGTAAGAAGATTTATTTAATGTTTTTAGCGCAATTTCCATTCTGGAGAATTGCGTTTATTAACTCGTCATTTCTGGGAATGGATGGATGGATGGATGAATGTGTGTCCGGGCTTTAAGTCGTATCTCCTCCTCAACGAAGCAATATCGATGAATAGTTTCAAAAGCAATTATGTTAAGCAAGTTACGAGAATGAGCATAGGCCATAAAAATTCCGGGTTTCTTTCATGTATTTCCCGGAAAAGCCAAAAAACCTCGAAAAAATTCAGTTTTTGGCCCATATCTCGGCAACCAGACCACTTAGCGACTTGAAACATGTACCAATCGATTCCTGTCATAATTTAGAACAATATTGCCGAAGAAAGTTTTCAAAAATATTCTCTCGTTCGGTCACAAATTTTAAAATTACATAAACACCTACAAACCGATTGTTCTTCTAGCTTGAACGCACCCCAACATTATACGTCAGAGCTATTTTTAGATAACATAAGGAAATTGCGCACAAATGTCACTAGACTTTTTTAATTAACTTGTT